TGTCGGCAGTGGGTAGTGCCTCGATGAAAAACCATGACTAGCAGGTGACTTGGACAATTAGATGATTAACATACCCACTGCCTACACGTAAAACCCCTCCAAGGCTCTAATCCGAAAAATCCACATCCACATGCCCTCCATTGTTTCCCCCCTGCGTAACAACAAATCACCACACGCAAGTGCCTCGAACTACGCTACTTTGCACCATTGTCTGGCCATCCAGTACCTCACTCAGCCCAGACTCGTCTGCACAATCAGACACCTGAACCTCGAACACATTCGCCCAAAAACAAAACCCTCCAATGTGTTCAAGCCAGGGGTTCGGCGAATCATCCCCAACACTCCCAAATACACGCCCTCAAGGACTTCCTAATCTCCGTATTCAGCCGCTTCAGGACTCTTTGAGAAAGCTGGCTTCTGCCATCCGGGAGGCGCCCAGAGATTACCAACGAAGCGAGGGATCTGGATGTGGTGCCCTACAGTATCCTGGGCTTGAGGCTGTGTAAAAACAGGAATGGATCAATGCAGGCCCCCACAGGATGATCCCAGCAAAATATCGGGATTATAAAGGTGTATAACATTACTCGCTTCCCCCTATTATTAAACGACGTCCCCCTTCTCGGGGCCCCGAAAAAATATTCAAGACTAGGTTAAAGTCCATGGAAAGTGAATCATTAATTAGATAAATCAATTAATGAACTTGAACCACTAATTTCGTATTTATTGAAATCGAATTAAACTTCCATTAAAATCAATTGAAATGTAATTTAAATGCCTTTTAAATCAATTGAACTCGATTTGATAAATTAAATCCCTCTCAAATCAACTGAAATCTAATTTAAAAATTCCTTTTAGAAACATTGAAATTGGATTTAAATCCCAATAACATCACTTGAAATGTGATTAAAATTCTATTTAGATCACTTAGAATCGAACTAACATTCCTCTAAAATCCATTGAGAGCTAATTTACATCCTTTAAAACCAATTGAAACCGAGTTTAAAATCCATGTAAATTTTGTTGAAATTTAATTGGAAGTCTATTCAGCTGTAAAACCAATGAAAGTCTAATTGAATTTAAAATTCAATCGAAATCGAAGTGAAATCCACTTAAAGAAATCCACTTAAATTCAATTGAACTGTAACTAGAAGTCTGTTAAAAATACATTGAAATCGAATTAGAATCCCTTTAAACTCAATTGAAATTTACCTAGAATTCTATGAAGAACGAATTGAAATCAAGTTAAAACACCTGAAAAACATGAAACTTAATTCAATTTCCTTTCAAATCAATTGAAAATGAAATCAGATCCTTTTAAAATCAATTGAAATCGAATGACACTCAATTGAGATTCATTTAAATACGGCTAAAATGGTAAATCAATTTGAATCGCATTCCCTTCTTGCAAATAAAATCCTATATGAAAACCACATGAAAACAGTCTGAACCTAGGAAAAGAAAGGATCCCTAATTCGATGTTTTTCTTCTTATACCACCTAATGACCTAAACCCCTCCTAATTCAATAGGTGGCCCCTGTTAAAAGTAGTCTTCGCCTTTTAGAAATAATCTTGTGGATTTTTAGGCCCGTGAATTTGTTTAATATTTGGGTGTGTTTTAATATTAGGGGGAAGGGGCTATAATATAGGGATTATCTAGGGGTATATAATACTGGGATTATATAGGGGTATACTGCATGTGCAGGACATGTTGGCAATCAGAATAATCTCAATGGTTGACACTCGCCAGCACGGGTAGGATTCCCTGCAGAAAGTGCCATTTCACCTCCCTTAGTTATTGTAAGGCATAGGTCTGAGATGATCTAAGTACTACGTGGGCTGTTCCGAGAGTTAGGATCCTGGTACCCCTAGATATGAGGTGCGGTAGTCTAATGTGTAACCAAAAGGGCCCCATAATTTTGAGAATAATCGATGTCTTGCGGTGAAAATGGTCTATCTGCGACCATCATGCCGCAGTCTTATATGCCCAATTTCCACTTAGCCTCTACGTCAAAGGGTGCACCCAAAGAAACATGTTGCAGCGCTGAAAGGCCAAGAGTTTTAGCAACCTTGCCTTGGTATCTCTGTAGTCCCCTAAGACCTATAACAAAAACATTCTCTGTAATAACTCCTTAGGGTTATACTATAGTAAAAATACTTCCTCTGGAGACTACAGATCTCGAAGTATGAGAGGATGGAAGGTGCGTGTTTTTCACAGGGTAAAGGACATGCTCTCAGTCACATGCAGGAACACTTCGAGCTTCAGCACCTGCATTACTACCAAACCAGAAGTGACCTCTAGATCTGCTGTAGCCTGAATGAAAAGCCCTCCTCCCCAAAACCTCAGACTTGCAAAGACAAACCCTTCAATTCCATTGACAGCTTGGGATCTTCTCGGACTTCGTGCAGGGCTATGGGAAACCTGGCTGATTCATGCCAGTCTTTCGACAAGTTGAGGTGAAGTAGCTTCCGGTGGAAATGGTAGAACAATGAGGGCTTGGTGTGACTGTGGGGGATGAACCAGTTCAGATTTGCCCCCACCTTAGCACCCTGCTCGAAAATGTTCTGCCTTATTGTTTTGCTTGCTCTGACTCATACAGGCGTCTCTCAGAATATGCGTGCTCTATGGAGGTAGGCCGTACGCTTGGTATTTCCCTCCAATTGGACACCCCCATCTACACCAAAGTTTGGAGCTCTATGCACACTCGTCGAACACCATTGAGCTATAGTCTAAACTCCTAGTATCCCCCCTAATAATCCCTATTTAGTAGTCCCCTATATACTCCCATATATAACCCCCTTTAAGGAGTTTAGACCACAGTACATTAGGGCTTAGGGTTCAGGGCTTAGAGTTTGGCACCCTAGAGCCCATAGCATGCCAAAGGCTTGGCTCTCTACAAAAAACTAGGTAGGCATATTCCGGAACACCCGAGTTGTGTACCATGGTAGCTACTATGAGAGACTACAGGATATTACCTAGCTATAACCTGGACTTTTCCCTAACCTACAGAAGAAGCGATGGATTGTGTTGAATTCACTGGCCAATACTTTCAAGGTGCCCAAAAAATGATGCACGAGTCCTCTGGTACAATGATAGAAGAGATTAATCAAGCACTGTCCCAGACTGCCACCCAGTTCTGGAACAGGCGGTGGAATTCCCTAACAGCAGCGGTTGATCAGGCTCTTGGGCCCCCGAGGCTGTTTCAGGTGTGCTTCTAATCAATAATCCCAGCAAATCCCGTCCCCTCCCCCCACGTAACAACAATTCCCCCACATAATATGATGCCATGTTACAAATGTCTAGAATTAGGATGTATTTGGGGTTTGGGGTGGGGGGTTCTTTTAAAGGGAGGGGATGGCTTGATTGCCGAGACCTGGTGCGCAAGGCAAATAACACAAACTATGAAGCTTTCTTACTGGGGGTTAGGGAAGGGGTGTGTGTATATATATATATGCATATGTATGTATGCATGGTTTAGGGTTAAAGGGTTAGGGTTTAGGGTTAGTAGGGAATAAGTGAGTAAGAGAATGCCATCCGTACATAGTTCCCATATTATATATTCCCTGATTTCTGCCTAGCCCAAGTAAGATGAAGCATTGCCAGCATGGGCGCCAGGGCACTTGATTGCGATAGTCAGCAGTAGCCATGTGGCTGTGCAGAGGAAATACAATCCACCTCAGGCAGCTTAGATTTCAGAAGGCGTGTATGGCAACCCAGAATCTACTGGCGGAGACTCAAACGGAAACGAACATGGAAAATGACAGGGCGGAAGTTTGGAAAGTCACAAGAAGACGGCTCAAGGGTCAGCTTACCGAAAATCAGTTCCTTTTCGCAGACCCGTATGAGCCGCGCCAGTCCTGACCACGCTCTCCCCTCTGACCGCACTCTGCAGCATATACAACTCTGGGACCAAAACCATAAACACGAACTCGACAGTTCTCTTGAAGTGGCTTTAAATATAGGACATGCAGGGCATGATTCAGCATAAAACACAGGCTTCTAAATCTTGCAAACATTCTTGCGCAAACAGGGATGGCTGTAAGCTAGCCGTGCTGGGCCCTCCATAGTTTTGTCTCGCGGCCCAGTGTGTAGGCAAGAATGGCTGCACGTGGCGACACCCATCGCGACTCCACGTCCTCAAGTCTCAGCGGAATTCCCTGGGGCTTCCAGTCGCAAAAGTGAAGTAGGGACTGGTGAGAACGGACAATCCAGAGCTTTATCTAGAAATAGCTGCCATTCCTTGAAAGCTCTCGCTGAACGGCAAAACTAATCGGAATGCAAGTAGTCTCCCTTGGACTCTAATGACTTTTTCCCCTTGAAGCCCCTCAATACGAGGTTCCGTATACTATGATACATAATGCCGTATTACATGACCCCAACAAGCATCACTCCAATGGTATTGTAAAAGCAAAACTTTGAACCAACGAAAAGAAATTTCAAAAACCACCAAAGTGGGAAATGAAGGGACCCTAAACTCTAAACCCTCAGACTTCCAATTGTGTGACGAGCTGTCCTCCGAATCCTCCGCGGGAACCAGAAACCTGACATGAGCTATAGTCTTAACCACTTCAAGGGGCGGGTTCTGTGGGGGATATTACTTAATATATAGGGGACTATTATAAGTTATAAGGGTAATAAAGGGGATACTGTGGTCAAGGCTGTAGCCCACATGCTGAAAGTTGGTAGGGGTTAAGGATTTCGGGTTTGATAAGAAGGAAACCCAACGGGGTTTATTCTCTACGCTTGGTTGAGCTTAGAGACTCACAAACCCACCCCTCTGTGATCCTCAAAGCGTAAACAACCCTAATCCCTAGTTTGTGCTACCCTAAACCCTGAACCCTAAGTAGATATGCTTTTTCAGTTTCAGTGTCAGGGTACTCGACAAGAGTCCGCAAAGAGGTCTCTAGCTTGTTATCGGGCAACCTGGGCAGGAATTTGGGGAATTACTATAGGGGTCTATAATACATTCTGGTATATTTCAAAGTTTATACTATATTACATTGTATGGCAAAGGATTATAATATATTACAGAATATCTTAAAACATTCTAGAATATATATATACATGTATTAATATCTTATGGAATATCCTCTTGAGGTCTATTTGACTCTAAGTGTATTCCAGATAATTTAGATTTGGACATCGAGGGCTAAGTGGTTTTGTGCATCGGAAATTCTCGTGTTTCTTGCGCAGCTTTCCCTGTACAAATTGCACTGCCGCCCACTTCATGAACCCTTTCCGACTCCTCCTGTTCTGGACCAATTGTCTGGCCTACATGCACAGCAGCCCGGGCGAACCTTGTCCGCCAAACGTAATTAGATTCCTTGTTTGGGTACTCCTGGAGTCCTACATCATACCATACACCTACACATCCTTCACCCCTCCCATAATCCCATCCCTAAATCGCACACGTGCTATCTGCTAATGGCCCCCAATCAGGGAGTTTGCTTTTGTGACCTTATCGTTTGTACCCTTGATTTTTGGATCCATAAACCATGGAACATAGCCCATAATCAGGGCATTTGGGACCCCAAACTCAATATTACAAACCCTAAGGGTTTAAACTCTACCTGCAAACCCTAGGTACCTACAGTTTAATTAAGGGGGAACCACTACTAAACTTGAGGTACTTGGGGTATAAATTGGGTACTGCCCCCACTCATTAACAGTTGGATAATATTTCGAATAATGATTATATGTAAAGCCTTTACTATGACCCCTATTATAGACTGTTAATGGGTGGGGGCAGGACCCGACCTAACCCCTAAACCCTGAACCCTAAATCCCTATGCCCTAGAGCCCAATAACCCCTATATATCCCTTTAAAAGGACCTAGGGTTTCCATTTTCTTTTCCATTATCCCAATATTACCCGGAAACTCCAAGCTTTGACCCAAGGAGCATCCCCGTGTGCGCAGCCAGGAGCAGACCAAGGTAAAGAGCCCCGCGGAGGAGCCGGGTCATATTCCTTAGGTTTAGGGGGTTTGGGGATTAGGGGTTTAAGGGTTTAAGGGGTGCAAGGGGTTTAGGGTTTAGGGTTGAGGGTCATATTCCTCAGGTTGGGCCCCCACCCACTGATAGTGGCATACTAGGAATATATAAGGACCCTAATATAGTTACCATTACTTCTTGTGGTCACTATTAGTGGGTGGGGGCCCAACCTAACATATTTCTCAGGTTTAGGAGGTTTGGGATTTAGGGGTTTAAGGGTTTAGGCAGGGGTTCAAGGTTTAGGGACCCGCACCCTGTAACAGTGGTATAATCGAAATATAAGTAATAGTGGTATAATAGAAAGATAAGAGAGCCCTAATATGATCACCATTATCCCTTGGACTGGGTGGGAGGTCCACCTCACATATTCCTCACCAGACCCCGCTTAAATGATCCCAAGAAGGGAAGCTTGCAAAACCACCCCAGGTTCCACAATAGTCATGAGGACGACTTTGGAGAGGTTCCCATGTTTTGGATACTGTTTTTGAATCAGGCATTAAAAACAAGCTAAAAAGGCAGAAGGAGTTGCTCTAATTAGTGCCGAAAGACTTCAGGCCTAAATTGACTCCATAAACGTGCTGAATGGTATCGTCATCCGTTAGCGCAAACTATTTGCGGCGCAATCCCTAACCCCCCCAGATCGATCGCGGTATCTTGTCTCTCTTAGATCATACCGCAACACGCCCGTAACTCCCCTCTTCTTACATTATCAAGAGTATGCGTGCACCAAGCTTCTTCGCATCATCACAGAGGAAGATCTGGAACCTGATCCAGCTTGCAAGACAGTGCAAAACATCGCCCGCTTTTTCCCAACCGTGAGAAGTTTCAATTGTGCTGTGTAGTTAGGCTTGCACTGGATGACTTGCATCAGCCACATAGCTGTCTCTCTCGAACTACCCGGAAAACAAAACCAGCTCTGCACGATGTTGAATAGTTGCATGGACTTCGTGAATGTGACTGCTTGATGCTCATGCATTGGGGGTAAGCAAGCATCCCCAAAGAAGCTCCATCAGGGATTGAGGTTTCAACTTCTTGAGACCCAGGACCTGGACCTAGAGCACCTCATCCCACAACTGACTGGGTTGCTGTTAAGGAACTCGATTTAAGTCACCATCTTTGGGGTATATGGTACACAATAGGTTTTCTTCTTTTATAGTAACTTATTTCAAGTCCAGCTGAGCGCTGAGGAGAAACGGTCGGTGCATCCAGTCCGGAATGTTCCGCTGTGCCACCTTCAGCAAACCTCAAATGAGACTCAGCGGAGCAAAGGGGGTGGGCAATAGGCACCTAAACCCTTTACCCTCATTATGGCCCTCAAGGCTAGAAACCTGTATTTGGATTTGGACTTGCGAAAAGGTGAAGCTTGTGGAAGTACTACTGAGGATTTGGGAGCTTCAGTAGGAAAGTGGAATCATGAGGTTGCTTTCAAGAAGCCTAGCTTCCTGGCTACTGCGGACCCCTATAAGGCAAAAGCAACTTCCTGCAAACAAAAACATGACAGTTTATCAGGGCTATACGGATGGAGGGTCACACAACTGTACGAATTTTGGTCGTTATTTAAGGGGGCCCGAGTCTTCAAGATCCTTTTCATTTGGCGCAGCAAAACTTCGATTTTGAAGGCAGGCTTTTGCCTGGCCCTGTGAAGGTCAAGCTGGTTGTGGCAAAGTGTGGCTGAGTCATCTCAAACGGCACTTGGGGCCCATCTATCTGTGGCCCCAATTACCTACAGTTTCATGGGTTATACCTACTAATTAAGCGGTAATTGCAGTTAAACTGTAGGTAATTGGGGTTACAGGTATTCGGTATCCCTTTCGTATCGAATCGTATCGAAACACATAACGAAGTCAAGATTCACGCTGGCTATGTCTTACAACACTGCCCACCCTTCAATAGTTGCGGGTACTGGTAACGCTTGAAGGCATAAAAAGGACAAACCCAATACACTATGACGTGGTGCCCAAACCACTTGACGCCCGAAGCCAACCAAGACTGTTCAATGTAGCACTGTCGGAGGGGGGGAGGCTGAGCAGTGGGGTTCGACTGAGAACCTGAACCAAAAACAATCATCATCCCGAAAGGGAACTTGAATGGATGGATGATCCACGATGGGCCGTAAAGTCTGGCACGCCAGTCGCTTGCATCGATCTCAATGTCTTTGGCTTGGAGCCCTCATCTCTGCTCTAAGCTGGTACACCCTGAACCTAAACCAAGCCATCCCCAGAGCTGTCAGCACTACCTAACCAGGACATTAAATTAAACAGCATTTTCGCAGGGAATACTTGCAGTTGATGACATATTTCAAGGTCTACTCCAGTTTTGGGATAGGAACTAGCTGCTGGCAGTCCGCTACCTGCTATGCTCAGCACATGTTAAAGACTATAACGAAATCCAAAGGCCTTGGAATTCCTACACCATGAACCCTAGAACCGTAATACTCTAAACCTTTCCTCGGTTCCCGAAACCCAAAAACCCTAAACCCTAAAACCCTAAAACTCTAAACCCTAAAACCCTAAACCCTAAAAACCTAAAACCCTCAACCCTAAGCCCTGAAACCCTAAACCCTAAAACCCTAAACCCTAAAACCCTAGACCCTAAACCCTTAAAACTAAACCCGCTGGAACCCCAAAACTCTAGACCCTAAAAACCCTAAACATCCCTAAACATCCCTCACAGCCCAGCAACGTTGAGGGACGATGGAGAAGCCTCAGCTGCCAGGTCGTTCGGCTGTCGTGCGCGTAGATAGAAACAGCACTCAAGTACTCATGGGTTCCCTTTGGGTCATTCCCCCTTACAGTAACTGTTACCACAATGGGTAATAGGAGTTATAATAGCCCCCTTAATAAGGCCCCTCTAAGGACAGTTACTGGGAGAGGGAAGTACTCATGGGTTCCCTACTATACCCCCTTAGATTAACCTTAATTTGGCCTAGGTATCCCTAAATAGGACAACCTGAATTTGGCCTAGGTATCCCTAAAGAAGGGATTCTAATTAAGCCTAAATATCCTTAACTGACTTTACTTGAGGGTGGGACCTAGGAGGGATAGTATAATTTCAAGATCGATGAAGTGCTTGAGGATCGGAAATTTACAGGCAACCTGGGGTGATGAGGATGTGGGGTCTATGCCCGAGCTCTTTGGTTGTTGTGTCAGGGTATATGTAACGAGCGGTTGCGGTCGGATACGAACATGTACTACATACCTACTGCACACTTTGGGGGTTACATTACCCATGCCAGGGAGGCACCATTTGTTACAATGTGTAACGACGCAGATTATTTGGCACGCCAGAAGAACAACATACGAGTATTCCAGGTAGCTTCCGGAAGACGCACACTGTCTTTTAAGAAGTATGCAGGTTGAGAATATTGCTTACTTGAACAGGCCTCCTGATTCGGTGTTGTTCTTTACGGCCCTCCGTTCAAGTCTTCTCGCCTTTGGGCAAAAAAATGGCCGTCCTAAACTCAAGGCTTCGCGCTTAAGGCCATACATTGGCGCCCAGGCCCTCTCATGGAAAGCCCTGAAGCACACATGATAGACCACCCCGGATAGCCCCCTAGGCCTCACTCGCTACCAGCCGACTGCAGATGAAGCGAACCTGTGCTGTCCATCACTGCCCTAAACGTCCCCCACCCGAGGAACCGGACAACGTAGAGGTACCAAAGTTATGTAGCCTGCCATCCTGGACTAAAGACAGCTTCTGAAGTTGGTCGAAAGACGAGACAAGTCCTTGATCAGCTTCGACTCGCGGTGCAAGTCAATGCCTGAAGTGGAAAAACAATGTTGCGGGGTGAGGGAAGCAGCACTGGGACGCAGAGGACTGTCAAGCTGCAGGGCAAAGGTCCGAAGAGGTTGCCAAGGCACCTGAAATAGAATTCTAAGATAGGTTCGACTCAAAAGAACATGTCCAAAGGCTTCGTTCAATAGATTTCCAGTACGTACTCTAACCCCAGTTTGTGTCTGCCCTCCATCTAATGCAAAGATACAGAACTTGCGGTCTCTTTGTCGGGATCTTGGTTGAACTCTTGAAATCAATCTTCTTTGGCGGCTATACCTCTGGAAATTCACCAGCACGGCCATAGACCTCCATTGCAATGAAAGCAGAGCCAAATCTCCTGTCCTACCTTGACACTGGCTGAGGGCAGTTTGACTGCAGCCAAGGAGCACATCCGGATGAAGTATCGGGCCTTGATCTCAGGCGAGTTGAATGGAACTGTGTCCTGAACCATAAGCCGCACGCTTGAATGAGCTGCTGATAGCAAGTCGCTACTCCCAAGCAGAAATCAGAACTGTGTAGCTTGAAACATCCATTCCAATTGCGAAAAAATATCATGTATCAGCTGAAGGAGAATTATGGAGATTAGTGCTTCGGGTTGCAATTTTTTTTCCAAAACAAAACGGCCGCTAGCTTTGGCATGTGAGCTGAGAGCCCTTAGCATGAGACCGCTTGATGTAAATCATTGCAGCTCTCTTACGCTGCGGGGCAAATCCGGGTTGTGGGGAAGCAAGCTCATGGATCCCAGTGGAGCATACGACTATGATGAAGCTGAATGGCAGTGTTGAAAACAAAGCAGCGTATCCTGAGAAGGTGCACTTAATATAAGTTCTTGCGAAGGCTGGATGATGCAAAGCCGAAACCGGTCCAGGATATTTTGCTTCGCTTCGCCGTAGACGTACCACATTGCCGTCACAGGCAGGCAGAAATGCAGGTAGTGCAAGTTTCCTTGCAGTGGGACTCAGAGAGATGAGTTTCATTGTCCGGGGTAGAGCCCAACCCAGATTCCAAGAAAATGAAAGGGTTGTGCTCAAACATGCACAAGGAAATGCAAGGTCTGATGTGGATCTTAGGCTTTCTGAAGGGCATCACTTCTTGGCTCATGTTGCATAGTATGACTTAGTATGACGTTGGCTAAAACTGGTCGCTGGTGGTTGCACTCTGGAAAAATCAAGTTCCGACGTAGCGTCTTTTCCACCAATGGCCTATTTTGCTTTTGAAATCGCTGTGCCAGCATCGGTCCGCGCCCATTCTTTGAGGTGCGCTTGGGCAGTTAGAGTGCTCCGGCACAGCTGTAGAAATGCTCCTTTGTCTCTCATGAGAAGTGATTGTTGACCAGGGTGTTGCTGCTGCCGACCTCCACAGCAGATGAAGCAGCAGGAGGAGTATGAGGCAATCGCTCCTTGCATCTTTGTCAATTGATTCATAGGGATACACGTGTCCGACTCATGATATTTACTAATTTGATACAAGCAGAAAATTCCCCAAACCCTAGTTCGCAGCTTCGGTCCAACGGCCTCAGGCCCTGAGCCCAAGCCCCAGACACATACTGCTATGCGCAAGCCCTCAAACTTTGAGCTTTAAGCTTAAAACGTTCAGGAAAGCTTTCAGTTGATTGCACCTCTCACTGTGCCTAGCGGGTTACGGAATGGACCTTGTTCCTTGGTCTTCTCCGGCTTGTGCGCAAACAGCTTTCCCTGCATCGCCCGTTGAAAGTGCGAACTCCAAGCACACAAACAAATTACAGCTCTGTTGACAAGCCTGACAAGTTTGCATTCTCCTGCTGAACAGACCAGCAAGCCTCTGCAACCTTGACACCCCGGAACAAGGAGTAAGGTCTCGCTAGGTCCTAAAGACTCTCAACACATGTACGAAACAATCGCTTATGTAACCAGGCTCTGTGACCGATAGCAAACATTTAGAATCCATCACTACGTCCGAGTAAAGCCTATAAGCGCCCACACCATACAGGCATGCGGCCATCTGTCATGACTTCGATGGTTCGCACGAAGCGGGACAAGAAGGAGTAGGCCAAGCGATGCCTTTCAATTTCTGCTAATGAGGTTGCCAGTCTAAATTCATAATAAGTATCGTGGGTCGTGCTCATTCGTCCAGAGTGCGGCTGGTGTTGGTCCGGTTGGGGAAAGAAGTCGCATATGCTACGTAACGTCGCGGGTCCACATGTGCAACTCACGGGTGTAAGAGTCCGCCTAGCTGATCGAGATGAGGAGGGCTCAGGCCGACGTTTAAGGCTCAAGGCATGCTGTTACTTTGGGTCTCACGTGGGGCCAGTGTGATCGCAACTAGAGGCTCACCAGAACTCCCTTCCAATCCTACATCCGGTAGATCCAGTAATCTTTTCGCAAATGTTCGCACCGCTGCTCAAAATTCGATTGAACAGTGCTGGCGAGCTTTCTTTGAAACAAACAGCCGCAGTATTTCTGTGAAGGACTATGGTGAACACATCCCTGCTGCTGGGACAGAATCGCACTGGCATTATGTGTCCTACAAACAGTGAGTCATACGCCAGTTCACATCACGATCATCAGCAACAGCATCAGCAGCTCAAGCGCTGGCTCAAAAGTGTACACGGGATCCAAATTCAAATGCCCCCAAGTAGGTACTGTTTATAGACTGTCGGGGCAGGGCTGTTTTCAATTGGCAAGGACTCAAAGGGCAATCGGCTGTCCTCAGGGCTGCACGCTTGAGCAGATCAGCACTTTGTACAGCCGCTTCCCATCCAGTAGCATAAAACGTTGGGAATGCTTGTGATTAGAGGGTGCGGGGTTCACTATTAGCCGGAAAGGATTTATCTAGCTTGGCTCTTCAACCCTTGTCTGACGGCTGACGAGGCTTCCCATGCTATCCCTCAGCCCATCCCACGCAACAAGCAAGAACAGACTCAGAATTACGAACTTCCACCACAATCTCCGGTGCAGCAGCCAAGTACACACCATCCTTTCTTGCTATTCTGCTCGCCCTAGCGAAAACCCCACCATCCCCTGTCAATGAATCCCCCTATTAAAAAAATCATGGTACTCAATTGGGGGACGCTCATCATTTGGAGTGTGGGGGGCGGGGGTTTTCTTACAGGTGGAGGGACCTGGTAATCCAGGCGGGGAAAGCCAACGCACCAGGCTTTTCGTACAGAAGGCTTGAACAAAAGAATCGGCCAAGCTTTTATCATCTCACAATGTTATGCAGTTATGCATGCACCATACAATCCCAACACCCCAAGTCTCAACCCGCTTGAGGCGCCTCGACCGCATGTGGTACTTTTGCCTCTCCTTTTCTTGCAGATTGGGCCGGGGATTCGCGTCCATGGGAAACATGCTAAGTTCAGTCAACCATGGTACACTCTTGACTGCTCTTATTCTCTGGAATGTTCGCTTTTGAGCATATAGGACTTGTACACAGGACAGGAAGTTTATGTGGGGTTCTGCAGGTATCCATGAAGAGTTTGCAGAGATTTGAAGGATGTCATGGAACGAGCTGATCACTGATGTGCCACCTGTATGAATCCTCCTGCAAGTAATTAAACCACAAGACCATACGAGATGTTCAGAATGAGGCAACCTCAAACTTTTCACCTTTTAAACCTCTCGGCTCCTGGAAAAAGTGCTTCTCGGAGAGGTACTGCGCCACATCATCCACGAAGTTCTCCTCTTCTTCCTGGCAACGTATTTGGGAGCAAAAGACAACGCCTGAAGAGGCAGCTGCCCAAAGACAACTCACAAAGTGCCGCAACCCCTCCCGCAAACACCCACGACACCCTGAAAGATTTTGCTGCTTTGAGCGGACCAACATACACATCTCCCTGTTTCTAGCTACTAAGGGTAGCAGCCCCAATGCTGCCCAAAAGATGTACACCTCTGCCTTGCGCTTTTACAGAGCGTTGCCAGAGCTTTGGTCGCAGGGGCATGGCCTGAGGCCCTGCTCAAGGTCCCACAGGCCAGGCCCTGACTGTGAGAATTCGGTTTTGAAGCTACCCACCCCTTCATGGATTCCATGCTAGTTTAGGGGCCATACTGTCATTGCGAGCTTATGTGCATCAGGACGGCCCACAACGAGCAGAAATCATGGCTTGGCAGAGCAAGGCGGAAAAAACCGTAAGAAGCCCTGTATAACTATGTAACTCATTATCGTACTTTCCATTTTCTTTTCCATTATCCCAAGAAATCCCGGATATATACCCCAATATAACCCTATATTACCCTTTAAACGGACCTAGGGTTTCCACTTTCTTTTCCATTATCCCCTGTATAACCCCAATATAACCCTAGTAGTGTTCATCTACCCTAAACCCTAGACCCTTAACCGTCCGAACTCGGAGCACCAGATGCCTGCACAGGCTTGACGATCTTTTCGAAGGTGCTGGAATAAGGAGAGATCTCCTCGGAGGAAAGGGTGGTCCCTACACGGTTTAGGGCTTAAGGATCCAAAATTTTGACAAACTGGCTAGAGCGGAGGCCGACCCTCACTACCACCATGGTACTAAGCAGCAAAGCAGTTGCAGTAGCATCCTGCGCATGAAAGCCACGTCTCATCACCCCAGGCAGAAAGTAAACTTGTCCTCAAGCTATATGCATTGCTTTGATCGAACTACTGGATCGCAGTTGCTGTCGGAGAACATAAACTAACGTACTATAATAAGGAAACCCCATTGTTTACCCTGTGCACACAATATGGTGACTGTAAATTAAGTTCCTTAACAGCAACCCAGAATACTTGTGCACCCAATGCCCTAGCAAATTCTGGGCCTGATCCATACTGACCTTCCCAATTCCCGTGACACTTGTGACCCTAAACCCCAAACCCTAAACCACGCGGCTTAGGGTTTAGGACCCTCCTCTAGCAGAACCACACCACTTGTTCTTCAGAACCTTAACTTACTATTAGGGAATGAGGAGAGATACTCCCTATACAACCCCCAGATAATATATCCCCTCATCCCCTACAAACCCTCGTAGTTTACATTTTTTATATCGCTATATAACCTTATGTTATACCCATATATTCCCTTATTCCCTACGAACCACCAGTATGTAAGTTACCTTGTCAGGCGGACGTCTGGTGACTGAACTGGCAGGAGGCCGAGCTCCTAAATTCCCAGCGACAAGGTAAACGAGATTGAAGCTTTGGTGAGCTCAAAAAAACTATGCCTTTAGGGGCCCCTTAAAGGCCCTCCCCCCATGTTGCCCTGAACCCTACCTGTAACCTCAAGTGCCTTTTAGATACCTACTGATTAAAATACCAAACTACAAGTAAGTGGGGTTCCAGGTAAGCCCCGAAGGTCCGCAGGACCCTCAACCCTAAATAGGATTTAGGGTTTAGGATTTAGGGTTTAAGGTTTAGGGTCCCTACGCCCTGAAGCCGGGACGCGAGAATCAGCTGCACCATCTTCAGGCCTTCGCCTCGTCAGACGCTTACTGGGGGGCAGTAGTAGTAGTAGTAGTAGTAGTAGCAGTAGCAGCAGCAGCAGTAATAGTAGTAGTAGTAGTAGTAGTAGCAGTAGTAGTAGTAGTAGTGGTAGTAAGAGTAAGTTTGTGCCTGCAGCTTCTCCCTGGAAACATACTCATCTCGCTTTACAAGGACCCATAA